AATGGAAAGGGAAAGAGGAGAGTACAGGTCGGAAGTGCGCTCTAATTCCCGAGTCCCGCACATTGCAAAAAAAAAAAGAAAAAAATGAAAAAAAGAGAAAAAAAATACGCGGGGCTTATCGTTCGTTGCGAAAAAAAATAATAGTGACCTGTTGACAAATTCTAGTAATCGACTGTTTATTATATATATATACGTTGTCTCGTGACCATTTATAGTTGTGCATACATTAGAACGGATCATCTCGTGTTAGGTGCACCTGTCTGCAATATCTCATATAATAATAATTACTTAACTTCCCCGCGTACTCATTTTCAAACAAATGCGTTTTTTTTCTTCTTTACTTCATATAAATATATTCGTGAGACGATAATTTTATTATTTTTTCCTTTTTTAGTGTGATTTTTAATCATACTGCTTCACTCTTGAGAAATAATTTGACAAATTAAAAAGCGATGGAATATATAATTTAAGGATTGTCAAATATTTCTTTTCTTTGCTTCATTCGGAAATTATGATTTAGAATAATTATTGCGTTTTTCTTGTTGTTTTGTCATCGTTAGGATGTGGGAAGTAATAGCTTTTAATTATATTTTTACTATTTTTTTTTAATTATTATTTGTTTCTTATTAATTAGAACTGTACTGAAGTTTTTAATGTTTATTATCACTTTTTTGACAAACTTCAGATGAATAATTTTTTTATGATCAAAAATATGGAAAAGTAGATTTTTTTTTGACAAACTTCAGATGAATAATTTTCTGATGATCAAGAATATGGAAAAGTAAATTATATGCCCATGTTTTTGTCAGAGTTTGTAACTTTTGCCTTTTCTGTAATTAATTAATTTACTGTTTACTAAATTGGTAGTGAAATAGATTTAATGATGATAATTTAAAATTGAAAATTGATTGCACTTCAAAACTTTACAGTGATTTTTTTCTCTCTTTAATAATTGTTGTATTCAAGGAGCAATGTATTTAAATTCGATTGAAGATGTAATAAAGCAGGAAGCACGTCCTTTGGTTTTCGTTGGTGGAGGAAATGAAATGGAAGGTGAATTCTGAGATGGATCAGAAATTGACATGCATCCAGCATTCGTTATGCCGGTGGATAAAAGAAATAATATTCTACTGTCGCCCACGAACCCTTGCACATCCGGTGCGTTTTCATGGAATCTTTTGAATACCGTGTTGTATCCCATATTAATCGAAAATTCTATTTTTTCTACGAATAGTATGAAAATTGCATCCGAGATTTTCGAAACTATTTTCATCTCCACTTTTTATCCAATAAAAAACAATTAAAAAGAAAAAAATTGAAATTGATTTTTTTATCTCAAAAAAACCGCTCGAAAGATTTTTGAGCGAATTTAAAAAATAGCTAAATTTAACAATTATTAATAATTTCGATCAGATATTCTCATGAATCCTTCAGAGTTCCTTTAATATAAAAAAATCGAAGAAATGAAAAAAGAAACTTGGAGATTTGAATTAAAAATTTATCAAAGTTTTCAGCTGAAAAAAAAAGGTAGTATCGTATTTATGAAAATTTTTTTCCATTTTCGAAATATTTATAAAGTCTCGTCACGAGCACATTAAAATGCACCGGTGAAATTAAACGATTCGACTTTTATCTCTCGCAGATATTTTAATTCACGAATAAAGTTCGTTATCTCTTTGATGAACTCCTCTTTCAGGAGTTGTTACCCATCATGCCATAGTTCAAACCGACGCATGCAAATTTCTCCTTTTCCTAAAGGCAAAAAAAAAAAAAAAGAAGAAGAAGCAGAAGAAAAAATATCGTGTGCGTTGGTCGCGCATACTGCAAAGATTAGAATTCTTGCACGTTAAACGCTTTCGAAAATTCAGTGGGAAATCCGGGAATAATATGAATCTCTCTTTTAGATGAGTCTGGTGAAATCCGCGTCGTACCCGGAATACATAATTTCACATAAACTTTAAGAGTGCATATGAATTCTTGATTAAGAAACTCAAATTCGAGCATGATGAAGAAAAAAAAACAGTCTGAATGCACTATTCCAATGCTCACAATATACGACAAATTGAAATTGATGCTGACATTTTATTACACGCTTTGAATGAAAGGAAGAAATCACGTTTTTACGTTTCTCCGTTATAAGTTTTTTTTTTGGAACAACAAGAAACAATGGATATTTAAAAAAAAATTTTACGCAAATCTTAAATTTTAAAAAGTTGTAAAGAAGATACATTTTTTAATTCGAAAATTGAGTACTAAATTTTTTTCTTTCAAAATTAATAATATAGAAAAATTGATTGAAAGAAAAATTCAAATTTTCTGACTGAGAATAAAAATAGGAAAATGATTCAGTAAAGGGATGAATTTATTTAAGCTATAAAACTAAGTGGCGCCAGGTGAATATATATATATATATATATATATATAGTCACTTCCTGTTGATTGAAAAGAGTAAAGGGAGAAGTTCCTTGGAAGAAATTGTACCTGACTTTGCCACCCGCATTTTTTACAGGTATTTTTACAGGCGCTTATATGTAAAGTTTATTGCTTCGATGAACCCACACAATTTAACACTGATCTACGCATAGCACGCGCAACGCACAATGTAAAGCGTTAAGAATAACTACGTGATCGAATTCGAGGAACAACCGGACATTCGTTGTTGCAGCCTTCATTTCTTAAACGCGATACGAATAAAATAAAAGAATAAAGATTTCGTTAGAAGAAAAACTTTTTGAAATTGTCTTCTTTTTTTTGAACAATAGGGTCAGAAACAAAGTGCCGGAAATTGACGGCGGAAACTTCAATTTTTTTTAGTCTCTTGCGTTGAATAAATTAAAAACAGTTATTGCTAAAGTGGTTTTATTTACGGCATTTTTTTCTTTTTGGGATGTTTAACAATCACAATCACTTTAGTTGAAAAAAAAATATTATTAAGTGTTGAATAAATTTTTTTGTTTCAAAAAAGTACATAATTTAGTAGGCACTGTGACATAGACAAATAAAAATTTATTTGCTTCAAATGGAAAATTTATTTTCGTCCAAAGAAATTAATTTTCCTCCAAGAAAATATATTTGAGCGCAAAAAAATTTGAGCCAAAAAATTAATTTGAGCGCAAAGAAATTTAAGCCAAAAAATTAATTTGAGCGCAAAGAAATTTGAGCCAAAAAATTAATTTGAGCGCAAAGAAATTTAAGCCAAAAAATTAATTTGAGCGCAAAGAAATTTGAGCCAAAAAATTAATTTGAGCGCAAAGGAAATTTGAGCCAAAAAATTAATTGGAACAAAAAGAAATTTATTTGACCAAAAAAAGTACCTATATTGGATCCAAATAAAAATTTATTTGAATAAAAAAAATTTATTTATGCCAAATGAAATTCATAGGACAATTTAGCCATTAATAACTATGTAGTCTGACGAAAACGTACCATTTCTACTTAAGTATAAATAAAAAAGAGAAATTTTGATAATTTACATTTCTAATTTTATTTAATTAATTTGTCATTTTAGAAAGTGTTAAAAACAATTTGTACCATTATTATTTTATTGATTTCATATGTCTGACCTTTCAACATTTAACATTTTCCATAAAGAAATATTTTATGTCTCTACATTAAAAAATCAATTTGTATCGATGCTAAGTTAAAAAGAAATATTTATTTTAGACAAAAATAGTTGACCAATACAGAAAATTTTCATCGTGATTAATTAAGTATTAATTAATTAATTAAGCAACTAAACTAAAAACATTTCTTTTAAATAATGTATTACTTGACTATTTTCAAAGAAATGTTTATTTAGTTATAACAAAATAATTTTTGTACATATATTATTTTCTGTAATTTTAGTTTCACATCAATGAATTAGCAAACATTTGTAAAATGTTTCAAAATCAGGAACTACTGGTTTAAAATTAATAAATATATAAGTCGACGCTCAGCATCTATACCTAAGTCCAGTACCAGCATCTACTTTTTCAATCTTAAAAAAAAATTGAGCAATTCTTTTCGGTTTTGTGAAAAAAAAAATATTTTTCGATACTCAGCGTCGACGCTAACTTCAGAAACCTAAATATATTTAATCGAAAATTTAAATTAAATTTTAAAAATAAAGTGATAAAACATTTTTGTGTGAAGTAAATATTTACAGTAGAATCCCCATTATACACTAAAAAAAAAATTTATTTGATTAAATGGTATTTGAACCAATAATTTTTGTATTTGAAGCAAATACCATTTAATTGACTCCAATAAATATTATTTGATTCAATTAAATATTTAATTGATAATAGTCAATTAATCGGTTATTTAAATCAATTAATTTTTTTCAGTGTCCCTTAAAATTTTTCCCGGTCCCTTAAAATCCGATATATGTAGGTTTCACTGCATTTGATAATAGTGTAGTAATTCTATATTGATTATATTATATATTTTCATAGATTAGAAAAATATTTTGAAAAAACAGAACGCTATAATTTTCATTTAAATAAATATGCTAATACTTTTGTGCTGAATATATTTCTAACGCTTAAAATATGCAAAGATAAAGAACAATTAGAGGACAAGATAAAATTCTTAAAAATTTTCAACTACTTTAAAGCATATTCTTAAAATTTACCTGAGGAGCAATACTGTTAGGAAACTGTTCGCGTTTAGAATTTTTCTCTTATCCTGTTTAATTGACCCATGAAAATCAGACGAATTTTCGACCAACTGATGATGCTTAAACTTACAGTAATAACGACAGTAATAATGACCAATGCGAAAGTGTATCCAATAATAGCCATAATGTAACAAACCAGTGGACTTATTTTCAATAAATAAATAAATAAATAAATCTCCTCCGGTACAGGTATAATATTATGTAGCTTTCCCGTGTAGAAATTGCCATATCTAGGCCATATCATGGCATGAAACACCTTCCCAGATCTGGCCCAAGTCTGGCCACACTTGGGCCAGATCTGGGAAGGTGTTTCATGCCATGATATGGCCTACACAATGATCAAAAGATCTGGCCCCTATTTGGGCCATGGTTAAATTTCTACACGGGTTGCTGTATTTCTGCCTAACAATATAACAATTTTGACAATATACCAGATTCCGAAGCTCGGAGAATTATTTCGTTAAAGCGTTCAATGTAAGAAGAATCGAATCTCGGCATCCATGACTCAATATAATATATCACAGATTCCGGAAGTACTTTTATGTTGTTTTTGTTGTTGTCTCAATTCGAAATATTTAACATCTTCTTCAGCATTGGCTATTATACAGGTTACATTTTCGTAATCAGACGTAATCAGACATTGTAAAATGTTTTGTCACTTCCTGAACGAGAGGATTTACTTTTGAAGTTGAATTCATCATGTGATCATCAACGACAAATATTACCTAATACAATAATTATATTTAGAAACCAAAAAGAATTTATATTAATCTATTATCATTGTAACAATATTTTTTGTTCACGAAAAAATTGATTCAGCAAATTTTTGCAGAATATTCTGAAATAGATGTCTGTATTCGATAGTCCAGAAAGTTGTGTAAAATGCGCTGAATTATTCTTTTCTGTATACCAAATGTAAGATTGTAATTAATTATAAATTTTGAATTACCTGATAAAATTTCGTCTCTTTCTGCAGATAGTTTGATAATCCTCTTAGGTAATAATTTTTTGGTGGATCTTTTAAGTTAACAGTTCCAATAATGATAGAAAATAAACTACTTTAAGAATTTCATATCAGAAGTTAAAACATGTTATGAAATTATAACTTTAAGAAAGAAAAACTCGTCAGTTTTAACCAACTCAAGTACTTTCGTGTATGATAAAATGCTCTATTCCTGTATTATTTTTATTCTTATTTCTGTAAATATCATTTTTAATTTTCGTAGATGGAATCATTTTAATTTTAAAAGTACGTTTTGTACAACATTGAAAGTATTGATTTTTCCTGGTAAGGTTTCTATGTCCTTGCAAATATTGTAATAAAAATTATGCTTCATGTTTGTGTAGCATATTTCCCATTTTTTAATTTTTTTTTCTGGTTCCGTACTACTTTTTAAAGTATCTTCTTTCCATCATTAAAAACTACATTCTTTTAAATATTTAGTTAAATATTTCTCAAAATTTTGACTTCCTTTAACAGATATATTGAATATAGAAAGTCTAAGCATTCGTCCATGAAATGTTTTAAATAATAGAGAAAAACAGTTGAACGTCAACCAAAATACAAGGCAAAAATTTTTCAAATCTACAAATTATTTAAAATCAACTTTCAAAATATTTGATTAATATTATTGGAATAACATTCAAAACAGAATTTTTGGCGCAGTTCAAATACTATACATTTAAACTACGCACCTTTTAGCGAAATATATCGCTAATCATGTTCATTCGACTTGTGCAAAACAAGCGAATTTTCGACCATCTTATGACGCTTAGAACTTCGGCAATGAAAGCGATCAATGCAAGAGTGTATCCAATAGCCATAGTGTGAAAAATCAGTGGAAGTAATTTTTCACCTGATATTTCCTCCGGCCCAGAGGGATCTTTACGTTGTTCCTTTATATCATTGTGTATCAATTTTGACAGTATGCCAGATTCTGAGGCTCGCAGAATTTTTTTGTTAAATTGATCAATGTATGGTGAACTATGTCTTGATATGAACGTCTTGAAGTAATATGATAAAGACTTCAGTAGTACCTTCATGTTCCTTTTTTGTGTTCTTGATACGAAATTTTTAACCACTTCTTGAGAATTGTTTATTATGCAGGTCACATTTCCATACTTAGACAAGAAATCCAGGCAGTCAAAATTCCACCAATGATCAGGAAACACAGTAGATTTTGTTCCTAGTTTCTGAACCTCTGAGATAGGACTAAAGAAAAAGTGTTCCTTTATTTCTGAATATGTCATAGGTATCAGGTCGGTATCAAGCAATTCTTTGAGTGTTGTTATTTCCGCTTGTGGTCGCCAATTGATGTCCAGAATTATTGAATAAAAGTAGCTGGAGTATGCAATACAACAGAGCATTAACACGCCAAAAATTATTCTTTCTGGAGATTCTTCAGGCTCGTTGTCGGTTGACATTCCCAGTACAATTCGACTGACGTTAAAAGTTTGCCATGTTCTCCTACTCAATTTTAACACGAGAGCTGTGATCCGAAGCAAAATAATTGCACCGACGGTGACACACATAATAGTAATTAATTCGTCAGACATTGTAAAAGTTTTAGTTGTTCTTGAATTTTTGGGAATTACAGCTTTCAAGCTACCAATACTTGTTATACGCATTCTATAACTTTTTACATGACTCTGCTTGACTAACAGAACGCTTTTGTGAAGTAAATCCATTTCCATTTTGTATGCAGACAGAAGCGAACTTAATACTCCAAAATCTTTGATTTTAAAAAATAATGTTTTCGTACGACAATTCATATTTGTCGTTAAAAGACTAGCAAATCTTCTGATTTTTTTCAGATTTTCTCCTTTTGGTAAAGAATTTTGATCAGTAGTGAAGCAAAATTTTAACATATACTTATGCAGGTTTCTCAGTTTGTTCGGGAACCATTGTACGTCATCTGTTAATTTCTGAGTGAAATAGGTTCCAGAAAAAGGATTCATCTGATGTAAAATCGATTGATTTAATTTGTCGCTTATCAAGAATCTTTGGTTGTCGTTTGGTTGCGTCATTACAGCAATATCGAGACCCAACGGGAAGTTGCCAATGTTAACGATTGGTTCAATAATGGGCCATGCTTGGTACCCAATGGTTTTTTCTTGGCAAAACAATTGGCAACCATCATTGGACCACCAATGGTTTAAACTTGGGATGATCACGCTACTGCCAATGATCGGTAGCCAAGCATCGGGCCAATATTAGTTGCCAAGGAATTGCCAAGGAAACAAAATCGATTTTCAAAAGCTTGATTTTTTATTGGCAGCCAACAAAAAACCAAGGTTTTGAAAATTTATTTTTTTTTAATTATTAATTAAAATTTATTTTTCAAAAATTTATATTTAAAAAAAATATATTTTTCAAAAATTTATTTTAAAAAAATATATTTTTTTAAATTAATAGAACATATTAATTTAATTTGTCACCTCTGGTAAAACAAAGATGAAAGACTGATAAATTCCCTCACTTTATATCTTACAGTGAAGGGATAACTGTGAATGTCTTTGCGAGAGAGGAGCAGGTACTTATATAGAGCCAGTGAAACAGGTCACAAGCGAGAAAAAATCACTAGCATGCACTCTGGCGGCGCTTGTCGGAACTGTTTTCTGGCGCGCATGCATATCCTGACGTTATCGACACAGCGCTTGGCAACCAACGTTGCGCCACTTCCGACAAGCGCCGCCAGAGTGCATGCTAGTGATTTCTTCTCGCTTGTGACCTGTTTCACTGGCTCTATATAAGTACCTGCTCCTCTCTCGCAAAGACATTCACAGTTATCCCTCCACTGTAAGATATAAAGTGAGGGAATTTATCAGTCTTTCATCTTTGTTTTACCAGAGGTGACAAATTAAATTAATATGTTCTATTAATTTAAAAAAATATATATTTTTGAAAAATATATTTTTTTAAAATTAATTTTTGAAAAATATATTTTTTGAAAATAAATTTTAATTAATAATTAAAAAAAATCAATTTTCAAAACCTTGGTTTTTTGTTGGCTGCCAATAAAAAATCAAGCTTTTAAAAATCGATTTTGTTTTCTTGGCAATTCCTTGGCAACTAATATTGGCCCGATGCTTGGATACCGATCATTGGCAGTAGCGTGATCATCCCAAGTTTAAACCATTGGTGGTCCAATGATGGTTGCCATTAATGTTCCAATAATGGAACGGAGTTCGCCAAGCATGGCCCATTATTGAACCAATCGTTTACTTCCCATTGGGGAAATTCATTTCGCCACCAATTTTGAAGCAATTTTTCTATTGATAAAGACTTGTTGTGTGGAAATAGGTTGATCAAACATTTCGGATGTGGATATCCCATTGACAGACTATTCAGTTGTTCACCTACAGTTACTTCTTGAATCCTAGTTTCGTTTGGGTTGCCGCTGAGAAATAGAATAAACAATGTCGTTCTTCTGGGATTTTGTAGAGCCGACGAGTAGTTAGTCTCGATGAATTGGTACCGAAAAGAAGACAATGTGATGCACAAGGTTGGAAAGTGCTTGCCAACTTCTCGAACGAGAGGATTTACTCTTGAACTTGGATAATTCATCATATGATCGCCAATGACAAACATTACCTGAGACAATAATTATATTCAATAATCAAAATAAGTATATATGTTTAAATCCACAGAACCGGACGATTTTGTGCTGTTCCTGATTTGATTGATTTTTAATCAGTTCTATTGAATAAATAATAATTTATTATTTATTTATTTATTTATTTTTATCAGTTCTTATACAAATGTATAAGAGTTAAGCAATTAATTACTATTATTTATCGTTGTTTTAATTCATGATTATTGATAACTTATTTAACTGAAAAAATTAATAGAATTATATTTTTTGTAATGCTTATGTAATCATGGTTGCTGAAAATATTTCGAACATATTTAATCGCATAATAAGCAGAGGATGTAAGTACAATTTAAACATTTGTATATTTATTTTTGTTAAATCATGAGGTTCCGTGGATGCTTTAATATCACAATTATTATTGCATCAACAACGTTTATATTAATTTTATATTTCATTCACTTATTGATTAATTAATTGAATAAATTAATAATAGCATTTTTTTATTATTATTAATCCTAGACTCCTTAACAGAGGGTTTTTGGTACCACAGTAAAATTTAAACTACGTCATTGTCTAAATATTTTTTTTAGATTTTCTGATTTCTTCAATTATTTCATCACATTTTTAAGGTATATTAACCTTCTGCTGTTGCTTTTGACCGTTATTTTCAAAATTCATCAGATTGGACACCTAGTGTGGACTATTAAACAAATTTGTGGTATTATTGCACCCCGGTTGGGCAGTAATGTATTATGTAGCTTTGTGAAGGAGTCTAGGGTTAATAATATTATTATATTAATTATTACAATATAGTTGTACCTAATTAGTTAATTTTTATCAAAATATAAGTATCTTTATAATTGTTTAATTTAATTATTAATAATTAATATGGTAGAACGGGGTGAAAGAGCCAAGGTGCAAAAAAGCCATTTGACTTTTATTTTAAAACTGTTAAACCGATTTATCAGCCATTTAGATTATAAAAACTATTAGGTAATACGCAACTTTTGATTCTAGTTTGGATGTTGTACCTATAGTAATATAGTTTTTATTGTAATTTTAATTTTTGAGTTACTCTGCGTACAATATTTCGATGAACTTTTCGAACATATTATAACCTGTTTAAGTGAACGGGTAATAAAAGTAAATGTTTGTACATAAGCAGAAAACTATACTAAAAACGTATACAATGTTAATTTTTGGAAATTGAACTGAATTTAAAATTTATTATAGCTTTTAGAAAAACTGGTCTTGGGGGTGAAAAAGCCAGGGACAAAAATCCATTGAATATTAGGTGAAATTCATTTGTTTTCTACTTAAACTAACCTTCTAATTTTATAAAATTTTCGCGTGTTTACTTAATAAAATTAATTAAACACAACGAAAAAATAGTTTAAAGTGCGCTAAAAAAATAAACAACGAAGAAACGGTTGCAACAAAGTTTGGCATCTGTGATGAAATTTAAGGAAGATTTTAAAAAAAGGTATAAAAACTTGGTAGTGTAAATGGAAAACAGGTAAACTTAACATAATATTCAATTTTCCTTGCTAAAAGCTCTTTAAAATTTATTAAAATATTTTAAAAATAAGATTATTTGTTATATAAATAAAGGAAAACTATAAAAATACCAATGTTAATAACATATTTTGCTAAAATCGCGAGGTGGCTTTTTCCCTCCACCAGGTGATACAAAAAAGCCACTTGCAGTGCATTCGTAAAACTCTTATAATTTAGTCCTTTCATGGAATAAAAAATATTTCCGTCAAGAATATTCAAGCTTAATAGCTAAACCTTCAATGCCAATTGGAAATTTGAGAAAAAAAATTTAAATTCAGATTTTATAGTGTCAAATGTAAAAATGTGGCTTTTTCACCCCGTTCTACTCTAATTATTAAATTTAATAAATAAATTCTAAATTACCTGATGTAATTTCGACTCTTTCTGCAGATAGTTTGTGAATCCTTTCAGGTAATCATGTTTTGGTGCGTCCCCCAGACTGCCTGTTCCGATTATTATTAAAAATACGTTGAACTTTACGAACTTCATATCAGCAATTTCTTCGAAACATATCATCAGCATTTAAATCATTATAATGAAATTGTAACTCTTCATCGTAATAGTAGGAAATTGAAAGCTGCAATAGAAACATTAGATTGACAACTTGAAACTGAACTTCTCAGTTCTAAAAAATTTTCCAAAGTGGAACTCTACTTTACGGTATCAATTCTTGTATGTCAGTAGTGATTTTCATTATTTTACGTAGATGGTATCGCTTTTAATTGTAAACCAAGCTTTTTTGAAAATAACTTTCAGAGAAATTGATTTTTTACCTTTTTCGTTTCCTACGTCCTTGAAAACAGTGAAATGTAAATTGTGCGCTACATATTAGTTTGTAGTTTGTTCGAATTTTTAAGTTGTTTTAAGTGTTTTTTAATTGTTGAATTCATATGTTTGAACTATATTTTAATTTGATTTCTTTCAATTATAATTTTATCTTCGAATAATAATTTCCCCTTGAATAATTCTATATAGAATGATTCGGGAAATTTCTATAGATCTTTTCCGCCTTGGCCAAAAAGTTCAATAAACTCTCTTCCGAAAACATCTTTCGTTTATTACATTAAAAAAAATAATTTTTCCTTTATTTACAACCTACATCGATCTTACAACAATGTTCCTATCAAGAATGGAGGAAAAAAAAATAAACGCAACAATATTGCAACATTCTTTCGAATATAATAGAAAACTTTTATTATCTGTCTATTCACAATGCTCATTAGTTTATTGAAATAATATCAAACCTCGTAAATTCCATTCCTCCTACAAGTTATAAACGTTTCGGAAACAATTATTATCAATATGGATTTCATTGACTTTCCTTTTCACCCACGCCACTTATACATCTCTTTTAATGAAATATAAATAAATGGCATAATAATATATATGAGAGGAAATAAAAAAAAAAAGATCGGTTCGATAATTTATAATACACAGAAAATGAAATTAATTTTATCTGATTCTTTTTCTTTTTTTATGTCTGTATGTTTATAAAGGGTATGGGGGATGTCTTGATTATTTTGTAACGAGTGATTCACCAGCGTCCTTCTTTTTCTTCTTCTTGTATTTCGCGCTTCACGGACTTGACTCTCTCGATGCCTCTCTCGCTACCCATATCGCGGAATTAGATTACCTATCTCGTCCTGGCCGTGATTTATTTATCGGCCATGCTCCTTGAGGCGTGTTGCAGTTTCAACACCTTTTGACGCGTGTATTTACGATTATTGAGAATTACACAAGGCAATTAGAGCCGTGCCGGCAATATAAATACGGATAATTGTGCCCACCGGTCGGTGGATCATAGGTAAATTTATAGTTGCGATCTAAGAGAAAAAAAGGAGCGATGAGATCGAGAAATACAGTCTATGGCTGGTGTGTGTTCTCTCTAAATATGAATTAGTAACAATTTTACTAAAAGAAATTGGTAATTAATTCTTAAGGGTGTGACTAATTCTAATTAAATGTTTGACATTCTGGATCAATTTATAAACTAACTTTTGAGACAACTCAATTAAATATTTATAAATTTAATATAAAATAATACTGAGAACTGTTTGAAATATATTAGTGTACAATTTATTTATTGTAATTTATATTATTCATTTTATAACAAAAACTAAACAATTTTTTATTACGACCATAATTCATTTCTATTTTCTTCACTTCGTTTGTGAGAGAACTTTCATGCCATCTAGGCGGCAATTTAATGAACTGTAATCGCGCGAAATTCAATTAATTTAATCAAGGTTGCCACAGATTAGGGAAGTCAGGGAAAAGTCAGAGATTTTTATTAGAAGTACTGGAAAAAATTAAGTTTTTAGAATTCATAAAAAAATTATTATTTATAAATCATTAATAAATAATTTTACTTGATAATTTTAAAAATAATAGAATTTTATAAGAATTGCATTTACAATTTTTATAAATATATTAACTTCAAAATGTTTTAATTTTCAATTTTATAAAATTTTAATTTTGAATGAATTTAATTACAAATTTTAAAGAACTTACAGATTTGAAAAATTTTAATAATTCTAATTCTTCTGAAATTAGTTAAATTTTTTAATATCTATTTAGTCATTTATTAAACATAAAAGATTTTTAGTTAAAAACACTTAAAAAATTGAATTTTGGAGAAATTCAATATTATTTGCAAAAGTATTAAAATTCTTCTGAAAAATTTTTTAAAATTCTCGTCAAAATTAAAATATCAATTGTCTATATAAATAATAAAATTCTTCTCAGAAATTCAATTATTTTCAAAAATTTTAATATAATTCTTGGCAAAATTTCAATTATTTTCAAAAATTTTCCTGAATTCAATAATTTTCAATATCTACTATTTTAATAAAATTTTCCAAAATAATTCAATTATTTAAATAAAATTTTAATAAAATTCTACGCAAACATTTAATTATTTTTTTATACATAATAAAAATTTCACAGAAATTCAATTATTTACCAATTTTTTTTATCAATTTCTTCGCAATAATTCAATTATTTTTATAAAAAATAAAATTTTTAAAAAGGTTTTAATTATTTTTTTAAAGAATAAAATTTTTGGCAAAAATGTAATTATTCTGAATACAATTTTAATAAAACTTTTCTAAAGATTTCAAATACTTTTCAAAGTTTAAATAAAATTTTTTATCAAAATTAAATTATTTTGAATACAATTTTAATTAAATTCTCGAAAGACTTTAATTATTATCATAATGTATTATATGTAAAATTTGAAGTAATATAAAATTCTTTGCAAGAATTCAATTATTTTCACAAATAATTTTTCATCAGAATTAAATTATTTAAAAAAAAAAATTTTTTTATTAAAAGTAATTGAATTTCTATTTTCTAAGAACAAGTTTTATCAAAACAAGAATTTTATTAAAATTTTTCAAAATAATTGAATGTCTGCAAAGATTTTTATTATTTAATGAAAATATTTAAATTTTTGAGAAAAATTTTATAAAAATTACTGAAAATAATTTAATATCTGCAAAGAATTTTGTTATTTCTCATTTATAATAAGAATTTTATTAAATTTTTTGAAAATAATTGAATTTCTACGAATTTTTATCAGAAATTTAATTATTTTTGAAAATTTTAATAAAATTCTTCCCAAGAATTAAATTATTTTCATGAATAACAAATATAGTAGAATTTTAATTATTTTTCTTCCTCACAGAGGAAGGATTGTATTTAATACAATTTTAATCGAATTCCTCTAAAAATATAATAATTATTCTTAAAAAATTGATAAAAATTCGTAAATAGAATTTAATTATTTAAAAATTTGTTGTTAAAATTCTTTATAAGAATTCAATTTAAAGAAACATTCAATTATTCAATAAATTATTTATTTTTCTATTTAAAATTTAATTAATTTTTTTTGAAAAAGTTGAATTGAATTTGTTTTGAAATTATTTCAAAATTTTATTTTCTAATATATATTTAATTGAAGAATTTTCAAATAATCGAAATTTAGAATAATTGAATTGTAAACAAATGAATTAAAAAATTCTGAAAGAACTTTCTCAATAATTATAAAAATAGTTGATTTACAGAAGAATTTTAGTTAAAAATTGTAGAAAATAATAATTGATTTGTAATGATAAAAATAATTTTGAAGATGTAACAGTAACAATACTCTAATAATATAAAATAATGATTTTATCACTCGGTCATGTTTTATAATAATATTCTGGCAATCGTTTTTATTTATTCAAAAATTGACTTCATTTAATTATTTTTTATTTAATTATTTAATTTTATGATTATTAATATATTATATTAATAATATATAATTAATTAAGATCTATAAAAAATATAGGAATTAGTTAAGAAAAAAAATATAAGAAATAGTGAAAGAAAAAATATGGTAATACGTTAAGGGATAAAATATATAGGAAATAGTTAAAGAGAGAAAAATATAGGAAAACAGTTAAGGGAAAAAAGTCAAAAAATGACAATATAGGTATTTAAGCGAACATAATTTAATATTAATAAATTTTAATATATTTGAGTAATTTAAGTAAATACTTTTTCTCTTTTAGTTTAGTGGAAGATTCTTCTTTTTTTTCTGTTTTTTTTTATTTAGTGGGAGATTTTACTACTGTCGTAAATTTTAGCATTATTGTTACACACCTTCGCAAAATGGACATAAAGCCTTTATAAATATAGCCCGTTAGTTTCACGAAAACGATAATTTAAAACATTTAAAAGCATTTTCTTTAAAGTGATACTTCTCTTTTCATAGTTACTGTTAATGCGCGCGTACAGCCATCACCCTGAATCTTCAGTCTGGCAAGGCTATTAAATACTGAATATGACGTTGTAAAGGATTCTAAAAACTCTTTCAATTTCAAATTAAAAGAGATTTTTTTTCTTTACGACTCCTCGCCAACTTGAATATATATTGAAAACTTGATTCACTAATAGTAGCAGCAAGTAATATATTATTGACATTTTCGAATAAATTTTTTTTTTCATTTTTTATACGAATATCGGTGAAATTTGTTTTTATTTCAAAGCTTTTGGCATTTTTATTTTTAAAGTTTTGGATTGAAATTTTTATTGAAAAATGTTTAATTGAATTCTTGAATAGAGGAATGTGGGGTGATAAGGACATTTTTTTCTATTATGAAACTATATTGAACTGTTTTGCTAGTCATTTAGAATTTAAGTTTCCTTAATTTTAAGTCTTTAAATTAATCTCAAACCAGTGCTGCCAGATTATTGAAAGATTTTTCTTCAAATCTGAAGAAAATTAAAGCAATCTGCGATATTTGAAGAATTTGAAGAAATATTGTAAAAGCTTGAAGATGTTTTGAAAATTTTGCGAACGCTGTGTATATATCATGTAATAATGAAAATATTTATAAACATTTAAATAATATAAATAAACCATTTTTTGAAGATAAATTATAATTTTTGTTCTTTACATTCTTATGATTATAATAATAAATGTAATAATTATTAATTACTATTGTAAATGTTACTGTTCCATTTATTATTTAGCAAATTAAAATTTTATATTTTCAAATATATTAATTGTTAAATAA